CTATTTATCTCGTAAAACCCTTGTTCCAAAGTTTTATTTACTTGCTTGGGTAAATTTCTTAGCGAATCAATCAAAAAAAGACAACTTGGACATCTCCGCCGTACCTCTTCTTCTGTTTTTCTTAATAAACACCAAAGCCGAGTTGTCAATGGAAAACTCAGACTCCCCAATGGCAACTCTTCTACAAGTAATCGTCTAAGTTCAAAAAAAAAAAAAAAAAAAAAAACCAATAGTCGACCAAATATTACAGACTTCAGATATTCTTATTCTGTGGCATTATCAGCAAATACCAAATCTAGCAAGTGTCTTAATTAACGTGATTGATCTATTTTCAATAATCGAGATGCAACACCGAATCGATGATGCATAACATCTTGGGGAGGGGGACGTAAAAAGATTGCTCAATTTATTAAAAGTAAGAATATTTTTTTATTTTCATCATTAACTTTAAAAACAATGTTACTATTTTGTTTCACACCGAAGTTTTAGAGAAAATAGAAACAAAAAGGAAATTAATACTTGTGGAATGAGCCATCTCACCCATTAATGGAACCGTCCTGAACACATATATTCAGAAGAACTGATCCGATATGGAGACCCGTCCTGGGTATGACGATAAACTACATCCGCGTCCTGGGTAAGAAGATAAACTAAGACCAACAGCAAGGCCTCTGATCAGGAGGTTTTGAGGAGCGTTGAACCACCCCTTAATTGCTAGTGTTCCCAGGTCCACCCTGACCCGGGGTGGTAACACCTGTTAGGGTCCCAGTTATGGGAAAATAGTCAACACCCAAACTTGTGTAAAAATAGGTTGTAATACCAGAAATACTTTGGAATAAAAAATATTACTAGCAATAATTTTTGAAGGAAAAATTATTATCAGCAACGCTTAAAAAGTACCAGTAATACAAACAGCTATATATTCTTAAGAAGTTGGATTGTAATCAAAAATATGAGTAATTGAAAAATGGTTCAAATATATATATATATGTGTGTGTATTTACCGAACTATCGCTATGAATCTATTTCAAAATTTTGTTGGCATTAAATGACCCACTGAGGTTTTGATATGCCATAAAACAAAACAACCAACCGATATGGAGAGTTTGCCGAACCTCCAGCTTCAACAGTACTCAGCTTGCCAAACTCTTTGTCAAATTATCCCCTGGGGAACTAGACAGCTACCCCATTTATATGGGGATCTACGGGGAATTTTGCTCGAGCCTACCAGCTGGGAATGTCCCAAGTTAAAAACCGCCTTTGTGTCACATCCCAGTTTGTGGGGAGGACTTCACCAAACTTCCAGGTTTACGAACACCCTAATTATCGACCCCTCTGCCTTTGAACGGAGAGGAACTCAGACGAGGCTATGCCGAAGAGTAGAATCTAATGTGAGTTGGTAGACAAACTCAACTCCATTATTACCGGATCTACAGTGTATTTTTCCCGGGTCTACTGGCTAGGATAAAACCCACGTTAAACAAGCCTTGTGCCACATTCCTCCTTGTGAGGAGGTCGGGTAAATACTGAGTCCGACAAACCTCTGGGTTTGCGAACACACTACTTGTCGAAGTCTCTGCCTTCGGGCGGGGAGAAACATAGACGAGGCTATACTAAAGGGTAGAGTCTTGTCTGGGGCGGTAGACAAACCCAACCCCGTTCTTATGGAGTCTACGGGGAATTTTTGCCGGGCCTACGGGCTCGGAAAGCCCTACGTAAAATAACCGGTCTTGTGACACATCCTGCCTTGTGGTCGCCAAACTGCAGAGTTTGCCAATACTCTGCTGGTCGACCTCACTACTAGCAGAGTCTCGTCTGGGGAGACAGGCTACCCGACCCAGTGTATGCGGGGTCTACGGGGTATTTTTGCCTGAGCGTACAAGCTCGGAAAACATTACGTTTAAAACCGGCCTTGTGCCACATCCCACTTTGTGGAGAGAACTTGGGTAAATCCCAAGTTCACCAAACCTCGTCTGGCAGTTCGCGGTAGATTTGGCTCGCTATTGTCAAGACCTCTGTCTTCGGGCAGAGGATGTTTCTGTCGGGTCTCTGTCAACGGACGGAAGCTCGGCTGAGAAAAAATAGATAAGCAATACGCCCTATACCGCGGTTGCAGCTACTGGGTAAATTTTCACCATTGGTCCGGATAGAAAAGCTCGGGTTCCCCACAGAAATCTAGACTATGTGTCGCCTCTCATCTCAGTGGGGGTACTGTGTTCATTAAAGCTTACTAGAAGTGAATGGAGTAAGATCTAAACCTTTCCTATTGTCTTAATACATTCGTCAAGGTTGTCTACTTTCGCCCTTGCTTTATGTTCTTGCGTTGGAGACTTTCTTTCGCAAGTGAATCATCCGGTCCTACGCCGAATTTCCTTACTTGGTGCTACTATCTCGGCCAGGTACTCCGCCTATGCTGATAACGTTTTGGTTCTTGTATAGAGCAGAGCCGAGATTGACGACGTTGGTAAAGAAATCAGAGGGTACGAAACGCTGAGACGCCGCCATGATCAACTACTATAAGGCAAGAGCACTTAATAAAATGCTAAAAATTACGATACAGAAACCTGTCTACCTGTTTTGCCTCTCATCGTATCAAACATTAGGTCCTTCGAAAATATCAGCCTTAACTTTTTTTTCTGTAGCAGCATGAGACACAAAAGGTCTTCCGCCAGAAGAGACAAATGCTATACGTGCGGAAAGCAGGGATATTAGACTAAAGTTTGTAAAAGTAAGAAAAAGAGGCGCAAAACGGTATCTTGTTCGGCATCATTGGATGCATTTTGATGCTTAACAAGTAGAACGATAGAAATCACGGCGAACAATCAGCCACTAAAAGAACTGTTTGTCACGGGGAGCACCAAAATGTTCATTAACGCAAGAATTGTGAAAATAAATAAGTGGCGATGGCTAGGATACTTGGATACTGTTTAGTTGATCTACGAGTAAAGGGTACTCTATACCAAGTAGTAACATGTCTATTAATAAAAGATCTATGCCGCAATCTAATATTAGGGAATAAATTACCCCAACATTCATTATTAGAAATCCTCTTCAGAAGCTCTAAGCACCCCCTTTTAATATCTACGGCTTAACAGCTATGAAAATGCTGTACCCAGCTCTCTTCAGCAATTTAACACTGGATTGTAAACCTGTAAGTATTAAATGTAGACGACACACGGAGGAAAATAATTTATTTATCCAAACCGATGTTGAAGGAAGGAATAATCGAATCCGGCCATTACCGTGGAGAGCACAAACATTCGTAGTCTCATCTGAGAACAGAAAAAAGCGGATGGTAATCGACTATTCCTAAACAATTACTTTGCTGGATGCATGGCCTCTGCCAAGAATATGAAAGAGAAAATACCCCAAATCGGTCTATTTAGTACTGTGGACCTTAAAAATGCCTAACACCAGCTAGCTATAAGGCTCAGCGATAAACCCTATACGACTCCCGAGGCCAGAATACCGTTTGGCGTGACGAACGGGGTAGCTAGTTTTCAACGTGTGACAGACTAGATTATATCAGAAAAGAACTTGTCTGTCTATCTTCAAGCGAATTTTGGAATCCAAAATTCGTTTGAAGATGAAACAGAAGTAATGCTTTTAATTTAATTATATAGTTAAATTTGAAGTTTCCCATATTCGGTTTTTGAAACATGGTAATCCCTGTGTAGCTAAGAAACTATATTTTAAATCAGTTAATTTATAATATATATATATATATATATATATATATATATATATATATATATATATAAAAAATAAGCTGAATTTTATTTAAATGTTGAAATCTTCTCAGTATTTAGAATTGTTGAAGTTATCACTAACGTTTTTGTTTAGATTTACAAACTCTTTGTTTCTTTCAATTTCTCAAACCAATCGATGAAACTTGAATAAACTGATTTGTTTGGAAAAATATTTTGACAAAAACCCTACTTCGTGGTTTAATAATTTCTTTAATTTAATTTTATAGGACTTCATGGTTAAACAATATCTTTTTAAGAAAATTTATTTTTTTTCCTTTTTAACGGCGAAGTATAAATTCTTAGGATTTCTTACTCTTGAGCATGCAGCATCCAACTAGCCATGCATAAATACATGCAGGGATAAATGAAAACTAGATTCTTTTATGTAAAAATTTAAAGGAAAGATATGCATACAACTGACCATGCGTAAATATTTCTAATGGGGCCAAATTCTAACTTTTTGAATAGTTTGGCCTTGTGATTTGTTTATCGTTCTCGCAAAGACAGGATGATCTGGAAAGTGGATTCTTAAATATATAAAAATTTAAAGAAACGACATGCAAAAAAAAGACAAAAAGATTGCTTTTTTAATTAAATAAATTTTAATCATTAAATTATTTTTAAATAGTGGGAGTATGTTGCATACGAAATAATAATACTTTTAATTTTTCACCCCAAATTAGTGAAAATTTATTGTACTAAGCTACGCTTCCTAGTAAAACCACGGACGGACGGAAGTCACAGAATTTTATATATAGATTGCAAAATAAAATCAATTAAAATTAAGTGTAACATATCAGGAAAGAGAGAGAAACGGTACGAGAGACACACAGAGACAGAAAATCAAGAGATAGATAATGTGAAGGGTGGAGAGAGAGAGAGAGAGAGAGAGAGAGAGAGAGAGAGAGAGAGAGAGAGCATGACATATCTCCTTCCTTCCTTTTCGGATCATAGTTTTATGAAAATAGTGTTTGCAGGTCCGTCGGGATTCTCGTGAGCCCTTTGCATCTATCTTTCAATTAAATATTTTCATAAGATTTCAATCGAGAGACACAAACTCTTTGAGTTTTCGCCTCGCCCAGGCTGTCTTTTCCAGTTTTACGGTTTTGTTACAATGTGTTTGGCATTTTAGAAGCGTTATTATTTGCGATCAAACTTTCATTGATTTTCTTTTTCTTGCGATTTAAATCGACTTTTATCTGCGTGATCAATCGATATAATCGCTACTCAATTCTATAGAGATCCAGTTAAATGAAACCTCAACTTGGTCATATCTATCGATCTATCTTAGCCTCTTCATATCTATCTATCTATCTATCTATCTATCTATCTATCTATCTATCTAGCAAAATTGTATTGTATTTTATAAATTCAGCTTAGAAAGAAGGAAAATATTTTAAAGTAAAATTATTAAATTTAATTCAATATTTTGATTTAATAAAGATAAACAATAGTTTGGAAATATATTTTTATTATATTTTTACGCTAATATTAACATCATTACAAGAATAAATTTCGGTAATTCAAAAATATAAAAAATTTTTTTCTCAGAATATGTTAAAATGAAGAAGGAATTTATTTCTTTTACTCTTGTTCTATCAATACAAGACTCGAGAACCCATCAAAGTAGAGGGTTACTAAAGGATGTTGTTTAAGAGCTTACAATAGGTTCACATTATGAGGATATATAGGACAGAGAATGGTTGACTCTAGACTTGAAGTAGTTAACACTGTAGTGATCGGGGAAGAATCCTTCTAGAATGAAACAGTTTGAGGGAAAAATAGTTTAGGTGCAACTTCATCCTTACCAATGGAATATGAAGAGAATAAGGATGAGTAGACACCATGTACGTGGACTGACGGGTCCTAGCTGTGATGCTCTGGATTATATATAGTTCGCCCGGAATTCTGCCATAAAAACAGAGAATAAATAGCAAAAGACTCGCGACGTTTTGTCTGTTGAACAGTTGAAAATGTTTCACCCATCCCCTATAACCCGTGTAAACAATTTTGTACTCACTCAAAGCCGGAGAATGAAGATTTTGCAGCTCCAGTCCAGAAGTGGCAACATTAATCCATTTTGTTCTGATATGACTGTTGCAAAGTTATTGAGAACCTCCATCGACAAACATTATCATCTAGGCTTTCTTTTATCAGCAAGATATCATGCGAAAAAGTTGAGCAATATTAACTCGGCAGATGACCTTGCTATTATTGATGCTATCAGGTCGAAGAATCTACAGGATGCCTTACTTTTTTAGATTTCTCAAAGCCTTTAGTTTTGTACATAGGGGAGATGGAGAAGATCCTTCTGGCATATGGCATCCTACCTGAGACAGTAACTACCAAAAATGATACTATACAAAAATATCAAATCTTTGGTTATCTCTTCAGCTGGAGACACTATGAAAGCAGGGGTCCTTCAGTGTGACACCTTTGTACCTTTTCTCTTTGTCATCACCAATGACTTCTCACTGAGAACTTCCATTGGCAAACATCATCATCTTGGTTTTACTTTATCACCAAGACTCTCGAGTGGATATCCTGCAAAAAAGTTAACCAATATTGACTATGTAGATATCCTAGCTATAACTCCATTATCAATGCCATAGTTCTCCTACATCATCTAGAAAATGCTTCCATTAATGTTGGACTCTGTCAATGCCTCTAAAACTGGCTTCAAACAACAAGGCTAATACAAACTGTCTCAGATGAATTAGTAAAATCTGTCACATCTTTTACATACCTAAGAAGTAAAATAAATTCTACTGAAAAGGATGTGAAAATTTGTGTAGCTAGAGCCTGGCCCACCTTGAATAAAATGGATGTAATCTACAAATCTGATCTACCAGACAACCTCAAGCAGAGATTCTTTTGAGCCACTGTAGAGGTGGAGTTAATGTATCCAGCTCCGATATCTTGTTTTTTTTCGTCACGTCAGGATATCTCGTTTAGTCCATCTGGGATATCTCGTCTTGTTTTCGTCCCGTCAGGATATCTCGTTTAGTCCAGCTGCGATATCTCGGCTTCTTTTCGTCTTGTCAGGATATCTCGTGTACTCCAGCAGAGATATCTCGTCTTGTTTTCGTCACGTCAGGATATCTCGTTTAGTCCAGCTGGGATATCACGTCTTGTTTTTGTCCCGTCAGGATATCTCGTTTAGTCCAGCTCGGATATCTCGACTAGTATTCGTCACGTCAGGATATCTCGTTTAGTTCAGCTGGGATATTTCGTCTTGTTTTTGTCCCGTCAGGATATCTCGTTTAGTCCATCCGGGATATTTCGTCTTGTTTTTTTGTCACGTCAGGATATCTCGTTTAGTCCAGTCGGGATATCACGTCTTGTTTTCATCCCGTCAGGATATCTCGTTTAGTCCAGTTGGGATAACTAGTCTTGTTTTCGTCCCATCGGGATATCTCAATCTTGTTTTCGTCCTTTCGGGATATCTCGTCTTGTTTTCGTCCCGTCGGGATAACTCTTCTTGTTTTCGTCCCGTCGGGATATCTCAATCTTGCTTTCGTAAATTCGGGATATCTCCTCTTGTTTTCGTCCCGTCGGGATATCTCAATCTTGTTTTCGTCCCTTCGGGTTATCTCGTCTTGTTTTCGTCCCATTGGGAAATCTCTTCTTGATTTCGTCCAGTTGGGATATCTCCTCTTGTTTTCGTCCCGTCGGGATATATCAATCTTGTTTTCGGCCCGTTGGGATATCTCTTCTTGTTTTCGTCCCTTCGGGATATCTCTTCTTGATTTCGTTCCGTCGGGATATCTCGTGTTGTTTTCGTCCCGTCGGGATATCTCAATCTTGTTTTCGTCCCTTCGGGATATCTCTTCTTGTTTCCGCCTCGTCGGACATTTAGCCGATGGACATTTGGCCGACGGACTTTTGGCTGACGGATATTTTACCAAAAAGTACAAGTAAAGATATTAACAAGCAATACTTTAAGCATTTTAATTAACAGTATTATAAGATAGAACAGGACTAATAATTACCACTAAATTTCAAGTGACTAAATTACTAAATCTAAATTTAAAGTTAAAAATTTTCTTATTTAAATATTTGTTTATTGAAATTAGTATTAAAAAAATATTTGAGTGTATTTGGGTAAAAAGTAGCACCTAATTATTTAAATTCGTATATAAGGGAAAGATAAAAGCTACTTCATCCCTTTAAGATAATAATCATTAAAAGCGAAATTGAAAGATCTTTCATATCGCAAAAGCTTAAGATTTTTGCTGTAGTAAAATGGGCTTCTTCCCAAAAATATTTTTTATCTTACAGTGATATTTGAAGTAAAATATAATTGAGAAAAAAAATTATAAAGTATGAATATCTGTAGCTCATTACGATAAAGAGTGTGACATAAATGTAAGTACATCACTATATTTTCGGATAAATGTCCATTCGCTAAAATGTCCGAGTACCACAAAAATCATAAGAGCGACGCCATTTTCAATTTTGCAATTATAGCCCCCATATTATGCAAATTTAAACTTGAATAAAAAAAAGAAATAGTTGTGAATAAAAAGACAAAGAAAAGAGAGTTTCGATTCCAGCGAGCGGGAAAGAGTTTAAAAGAAAAACCTTTTTTATGAGGAAACCCGTTCGTTCTTTTGTGAATAAACTCACTCAAATCGTGTCATTTTTTCTTGTCGGACAATTAAAAAAAAACAGAAATTGACCTCAATTTATAAAAACAAGAATAATATTTTATTGAATATGATTTCTCAATTTTTAAATATTAAGCGCGATTTTTAGTGGAAAGAAGCAAAAAGTTTAAACTACTGGCCATGAAATATTCTATTCTAATTAATTGAAATGAACTTCTAACAGGACCCAACTTTGATGATCAATAATTATACTGAAAAGATTTTCAGAATAAATCTTAAATGACGTTCAAAGAAGATTTATACTTTATTAACGAAAAAATAAAAACTCCAAAAAACACAGAAATCCGTTTGAAAAGGAAGGCAGGTCAAAAAATATTGAAGGAGTCCGATTGGTGAATTTTATTAACAACACCTTTCAAAGACTTTCAAAGACTTTGTAATAATAGCATTATGCGTTGATGCATTATATCGATTTTTGGAAATGATAATTATTGATTTATTATGAGTTTTTAAAATCGCAAATTTCGATTTTAATTTTTGCATATTTAATTTATTTTTGTATTAATAAGTTGAAACATTCAACGTATTTTTTATATCAATAAGTTTATCAGACTTTCGATGTACACTAGACTTTAGATCAAATGCGTTTTTATTTTAATGAGTTTATTAGACCTTCAATTAGATGTCAATGTGGTTTTTAAACAAAATAATTTTTTGTCGGGATGGAACAAAGGAAACAAACTGGATTGTTTCCAAAAATAAACAACTGATATTATTGCGAGGCTAATTAAAAATGATTCGCATTTTGGCTTTAACATATCTTTAACTTTTTTCCCACTGCTTTCTGCTCATGCGTGATTATATTTGGTACTATTGTGATCGATGTTTGAGCTAGATCGCGCGATTTTTCTGTCTGCTGTTACAGTGTAAACATGGCCGCCCCGCTAGTAGTGTACACCAAGGAGAAATAAAAGGGAAGTAATCTGATTTCTCTAGTCGGAAAAGTTGTGCCAGGGGCTGAAATTCATCGGTGGCATTTAACACAATAAAACGACAATGCACTACCGCATAGAAATGTGTATGAGTGGATCGAGAATTTTAAACGTGACTGGACAAAAGTGACGCACAAAGAAGGAACAGGACGCCAATCAATTTCTACCACTGACGAGAAGATTCAGCCAGGTTTCGAGATGGTAATGGTGAACCGGTGTGTAACCATTGATGGGGGAACTATGTTCACAACTGAAAGAAACCTTTCAAAATAAATCTGTCCTACACTTTACTTGCCTTACCGCCTGTTTCTTTGTTGCCAAGCGGTAAGGCGCGCCGGGCTAAAAGGCGGATCCCTCTTCCCTGAGCCACACATGTTCGATTCCCACCGAAGGGCGAACAGTTTTTAAAGATTTCTCGAATATTCAGACTGTTAGGTGAAAATAAATAAATATACTGTTTAATAAAGTAATGGAGCACATGCTTAAATAACGTTGAATGTCATATAATCTGTCAGTTCATATCTATCTATCTATTTCAGCTTGTCTCTCTCTCTCTCTCTCTCTATCTATCTATCTGTCTATCTCACATTGTTCCTCTCTATCCCAGTCTGTTCATTTCTATCTATCTATCTATCTATCTATCTATCTATCTATCTATCTATCTATCTATCTCAGTCTGTCCATATCTACATGTCAGTCTTTGTATATCTATGTATCTCTGTTCATATTTAGCTATCTATTTATGTAACTAGCTCTGTCTATATCTATCTATATATATGTTTATATCTATGTATTGTCTGTTCGTACTTATATATGTGGATCATTAAAATATGACTAATAATAAGAATAATAAAATATGACTAAATATTTCAACTTCAAATTTCGAACGGAGGCAATCTCTTCTTGGTCTGAAACTTTCCTTACTCCCTCTTATCACACCCAGTTCACATCAATCATTTTTTTCACAGAAAAGATGCATGAAACCCTGTTTGATGTGCTGATATTATTACGAGGACGTGTCTTAATCATTGATTTCTTGAGCCATTCGAACGACGTTCTTGTATATCCACGGCTTATTAGCTTCCGGTTAAAATCGGGTAAATTGCCGAACAAACGAAATTTTTTCATTCATTTTTATATTTTCTCTTCATAAGTATTTACTAGGTTAATTTAAGGTTTACAGTTTGGATAGCGGCGCCTACAGTGGAATCGGCGAGGCGAGTTTATAATCTGGTATTGTCTATGAATCTCTTTTCTCCCCCCCCACTCCCAGTTTAAATACCAGAGTAGATTCGGCTGTCGAATAAAAGGAAAACTCTGAAATCTCAAACACTGAAAAAGGCACGGAAAACTACTCCTTTACCTTTCCCAAGAATGCATAAAAAATCACATATAACAAGGAAGTGGAATATGTGGAGAGCCATGATACCTAACGTTTTGAAGGAACGTGGCGTTAAAAAAAAGTTTATTAAGTCAGATACAAGAGTAATGTAGTATAAGGAAGATTCTTAAGATTGTTTTGTGCCAAATTCTACACGAAATGTGGTCATACTTTGTTTTGAAAATTAATTCGAGAAAATGCTGTTATTTATCTCCCATTGAACAACAGTTGCGCTGGGAGTGACTATAAAAATATCTTAGTGACGAGATAAAAATATTTCCTAGGCTACGTTTTGTTTGACAAAGAGGGAAAATGATGGACGATCCAGTCAGAATTGAACTTTCATACAAATAGCTTTTGTGAAACCAATTTCATTTTTTTAATAATATTAAGATGTTTGTCATTTCAATTGAAGTTGGAAACCATGAAGACCATTTATGACAACGGTTGTTGGCCACGTTAAGAGAGGAATTCACACTTGGTTGATGCGTTGAAAAAGATGTCGGCTGATTAAACGAAAGTCGCATTCTCCTCGTGGAAAATGACAAGTTGTCTCGTCGAAAAATTGGAAAGAATTATGGTATTAACACGAATTAAAGGGGAAAAATATCAAGGAGAAACGTATAACATTTGACAACGACAGTTTCTCATTTATTCTTTCATTTTTCCTAATTTGAAAGATTTATTTCTGTCTCCTGTTTGAACATCATTTCCTTTTTTTTTTGCTTCACATTGTGATCAACAATTCCGTAATAATCGTTTATAAAACATGAAATCAAGGAAAATCATCTCGGTGGATAAATCTGCAACATAAAACTTTTTAATTGCTTTGCTGTCGTAAAAGTTCATGGTAAATTGTTCCTTTATAGATTTTGTTAATTGAAACAAACACATATGAAATCATATGGAATGTGTAACTGAGTATGTCAACTTCTGTTTTGCAAATTCAAGTCAATCCTTTCATAATAAAACTTATAAAAATTGTTTAATATACTTATATATGAGTTATACACTGTGTGGGTGTCAACTTATACTATTTTCATTATCAATATTTAAAATAACTTATTTGGTAATGTGGGATTTTCATATGTGATTCGATGGTTGTTATTCATATCGTAGACTCTCCCGTCGTTGATCGACACGGGCTTCTGAGCCGTGTCTACCGGGAATTCTTTTTACGACGTATGAGGGTCAGGCAGCTCAGTTCCTAGGAACCGACAGCCAGACAACCTGAACATATGATTTGATTATAGTGATGAAGGTTTTATGCAGAACCAACAAGATATTTTGAAAAGCCGAATACAAACACCTGGTGCACTACGTGCCACAAGGTCTCCGAACGACCCTCCTCAGGTTTTGAATTCAGAATTGTTGTTCCTCTAAACCAGTTGCAAGGCAAGGCTATAGAACCCATTCTGTCCTGCTATTTACCCATAGTTTGGGGAGAAGAAGAGGTTTCATACCTTTTCCAAGGGTATTAGCACGTAAGTTATTCATATAATCTATCTATCTATCTATCTATCTATCTATCTATCTATCTATCTATCTAATAACGTAATTACTAGTATATTCATTTTAATTCCCTTTATGTAATGATTATAATGGTTACTAATTGGTTTGGTTTCGTTTGTTTTTCGGCATATCAACCTCAATGGGTCATTTAATGCCGACAACTGTTTTTTCCTGGTAATATTTTTGTTTTGTCAAAAATCCATTTCTGTTAATATTATTTTCTCAAAAATGTATAGCTGGTAATATTATTTTTTCAAAAACATATAGCTGGTAATATTTCTTTTTTCAAAAACGTATTATTAGAGGCCTTGCTGTTGGACGTAGTTTATCGTCTTACCCAGGATGCGGGTGTAGTTTATCTTCATAGCCAGGACACGAATGTAATCTGAGTGTTAACTATTTGCCCATAGCTGGGACCCTAACAGGTGCTACCACGCCGGATCAGGGTGGACCTGGGAACACTAGCAATTAAGAGGCGCTTCCATGCTTCTCAAAACCTCCTGATCAGACGTCTTGCTGTTGGACGTAGTTTAACGTCTTACCCAGGACGCGGATGCAGTTTATCGTCATACCCAGGACGGATAATGGTTACTAAGATAAATAAGTTTTTATGAACTGAGTGATGGTAACACAACATTGGAAGTGCACAAGAAAAATCAAAAAAGACATTCAAAACAAGCAAGATCAGAAAAAAAAAATCGTCTTTACGTTTGTCACAATAAAAAAGAGATTTGAAAAAATTAAAATGGCGATACATACGAAAATTGATTTCATCAGCAATAGAAGATATTTGAAGAAGCCTGCAAATTTAAATAGAGGCGAAAAAAGAAGATGGAGAACACTGGCCAAAGACATCAAAGCAATCAAATTACCACCTTTAAGAATATGTCACAAATGATGAGACATGTTAGTTGATCGAAGTACATGAAAACTGATTTCTCAACAACTGTTTCTGTGATAAATATAGAGCCATAGTAGATAGTTAACCTACTGGCTGCGTTCGATGGTGCGCCCTTCCTGGAAATATGCAAATAACACGATGTTTTGGGCCACTGTTATAGGTTGTAAAATTAAGACCTTTAAGTTGATGATAGAATGAAGATAAATGACGGAGAATTATTGTTAAGTTCTTAATAAAAGTTTGTTTTACGGTTGGAACAAGCCACAACCAAGAAGCTTAAAAGATAAACAGTATGTTCGTTTAAGAAAATAATAGACAGAGAACCTTATTGGAAAATACGAAAATTTAAGTAATCAGCGCATATGATATGCTACGAAAATCTCCTAAGCCGGCCAGGCATAGTTATCAAAATATTGATAACTTGTCAATAATTTCGATAACTTATCAATAAAGATAGATACCATAAGCTGAAGTTCACAAGATATACATCACACACACACACACACACACACACACACACACACACACACACACACACACACACACACACTTACTCACTCACACACACACACTCACTTACTCACTCACACACATACACACACATATATATATTGTTCATATCGGTGAATTGAGGCGCGGATTGAGAAATTTGAGGGTCGAGTTCATTGCTCTTACTTACATACTAATGCCCTTGGGAAAGGTATGAATCTAACAGGATAGACTCGGTTTTAGAGACTTGATTGGTGACTAGTCAAAGAGGAGGAAAACTCTGAATTTAAATCAACCCGGGGAGGGTTGACTTATGTTGATGTCAAGGAAACACGATTATTCCTGTTCGGGGCTTGCGATCGTGATGCATGTATCTTGAAAATCCTACCAATATAAAATAAAAAAAAATTATTAGGAAAACATTGATTTACGCAGTAAAAGCTGCCATAGTATGTATTACTTCTCTCTCTCACCCTCTCCCACTCTCTTTCTCTCTCTCCATCTCCTAATAAGGATTACAAATTGGAATTTCTACCATTTGAACATGCGCAATCACCAAAAAAACAAACAAATAGCCGGCTTTAAAATAATAACAAAACAGCCTTAAAAAAATTAAAAATAATAGCAATTTTTACCTATCATTGTTTTACATAGACCCCATCATACGTATATACGTGCGTGCGAGGAAATATCATTCAGCGAAAAAATAGAAAAACGGTCTGCATGATGACATCGCTGCATCCAAGAGAATTATTGGCTATACATCCCATCACTGAAATTCAGCAATCATATGCGTGCGTATGTACACAACAGTACACATATACATATATATGTCAAGCCCCATACTGTATGAGCTCCGGTGGGCGAGCGCGTATGTATGTGTCTGCGTACCTCAATGGGTGTACGGGTGTGCATGTATGTTTGCGTAAATATGAATGGCGTCACAACGACAATGTTTCCTTCCACTTCCATTAAAACACCAATACACGCAACCCTACATAAATCCAAAATCTAAAAAATTAATCAGTTTGTCTGACGATCCCAAAACCGTGAAACCCAGGGTCACAAACTCACATCAATCCAACTATATATATATATATATATATATATATATATATATATATATATATATATATAAATATAAAAAGACAGGACATTGAATATTTGTTAGGTTTCTGGTAAGTTTCACATGCTGTTAAATAAGTTTTATGCAGCAACTTGTAAATGAAGTTTCTGAAATTGTTTGTAATGTTCCGTGTACTCCAAAGTTGAAATATCTGTTGTTTCAAATGATATGGCGGCAGATCTGTTTAGAACACCACAAAATTAAAATGGCCTTATAGTTTCAAGGTATTTTATCATATACGCACCGAGATTAAAACACTTGATAGGAAACAGTCGTTTTATCTTAAGAGCCTCAAAAATTTGTAATCGTTTTTTTTCTTTGCAGTTGTATTGTAGTGGTAGTGTAGTCAACCTGTCGCTTACCAATATCAATTTTTCACACAATTCAGTCAGTTATGTGCCATGCGTAATACACGGTTAGGCGATCATGTACCTTTCTATACATGACTGACGCGGCAGATTTTTTTTCTCACAGTAGGCTTCCATTTCTTTCTGCGGTAGATAAGTTGCCATCAAAGGCTATAGAACTGGGTCTATCCTGCTATTTACCCATAGCTGGGGAGAGAAGATGATTTATGCCTTTCCCAAGGGTATTAACACCTAAGAGAATGTAATGGATTCGACTGGAATTCGAACTCGGCTCTCTGATTCCTTAATCCGAGCCGCTATCCATTACTCCGCCACACACGAAAACAATATTGTTGTATACCAATTATCATGTCTTTTGTCAGCAGCAGCAACAACAATAATAATAATAATAATAATTATTATTATTATTATTGATAGTAATAATGCCATATATTGGTCTCACAACAACATAACTCTCGAGGAGATAGAGCTGTCAGTTCTCTATGCCAAGTGCTTTAAGTATACACTTAACACAAACCCAGCAAGACCTTTCTATCATCAGATAACCAATCAGAGTATTGACAGCATTGTATTAATCAAACTGAAACTGTTTGAGATTGTTCAATAAAAAGTGTTTTAATCTCTGTCTTCAAATCGTGACTTCATTTTAGTCATGTGATTCTATAAAGAATTTTACCGCCATAATATGTGACGCCATATAAACTTCAAACTGGGCCGTTAACAGCATAAAAGATTCACTGGTTGTTTATCGACTTTACATTGAAAGTATTCCGAACGAATCCAGTTATTGGTGAACGCTGTACTAATTTGGGCAGGCTAGAGTGATCGAGCAAAGCTTGCTTGACAACTGATGAAAACTGCTCTTAAAGGTCAATAAGTTAAAAAAAAAGAAGACTGTTTCATGTCTTCTTGGATCCATGACGGCTTCCAGACAACAGCTCATGAATCCATTGATATTTTAATGCACACGTTGAACCATGATTTAAGAATGGAAAATCTTTTGAAAAGATTCTTTTTATGCCCAGTAACATTCCATCACATTCAGGTAACGAAGGTCGGAATAAAATCGTCTTAACAAGTGCTCATTTGATGAAGAGTCCGTCTTGTCGGGTCGACTTTAATCAAATCGAAAACTTGTGAAGCTTTCTGAAATGGTTGACGGTATAATTTACCAGCTTTAGAATGCTATTCTTGATTTTGTGAGTAATGTGAAGAAATAAAAGAAATCACAAAACCCATGATCGACTTCTAAAACTAGTTTCAGAACATGCAACATTAATTTGCATTCATATTCTTTTTCTAAAATCGTTTTCATTATAAAGGAACTATTTTCAATTTTTATTCAATATATGTCTGTGACAACTTGGCACCAGTTCTGTAATTATAATTGAAATTAGAATAATATTTCTTGGAGTTCATGTAACCTGGATAATAATGTAAAACTTCATAAAACTGTTGACACATCATAAGAATGACATATAGTTTAAATTAATACATGTATGAAATATCTTGCATATTAATAATGAAAATATGTCCATGGGGACAGACATTTGTTTTCTGAAAATAAGAAAGACTAAAACGTGCCTAATAATGTGATGTGAAGCTCGTCTAATTCTGGTTGAATAATCTTCATGTAATTAAGCAAGAATTTCATACGAACATCCAATGATTAGGAAAAATTAATCAAAAACTATTTTGAATTTTAAAAATTATTTTATTCAGTTTTTTTGCCTTCTTGAAATGGAATAATTAACTTTCACTGCAAGAACTATGAAGAAATGATAAATATGAAAAAAGAAATCTTGTAAAAAGTGAAATGCAATTCTAATTCGAGCCTTTCTTTAAATTGGTAGCATGGAAAGCTTCAGTTAATGTCTGCGAGGCGAACTGTTCTTGACAGGCACACATCATATGAAATTGAAGAAGAATAGAAGCACAATATGACACTTGAAACTGGAACACGTGTTTAAGTTCACGGACATATTTGTTAAAGACGTACATTTGAAAAGAGATAACTGCAAGACGAATTGGTATGAATTAAAATCTCACTCGGGTGCCTTTTCTTTATTTACCATCTCTGCTAGTTAACGTCTGCAGAATTTATCCTGGACATTGAGTATCATGGTTCTCCACAATATCCTTTTTATATCTTTTGTTGCTCTAAGTAGATTTTAATAATTTTCCATCACTCATTGTTATGCCATCGATTTGCTCAAAATCTTTAAAATGTTTACGGTCGCTTCACAACGATACACCGGTTCCTGTAAGATCATCGAAATTAAACAGCGCCGAGCCTGGTCAGTACTTAGATGGGTGACAGCTTGGAAATATCAGGTAAATTAATCTTGGATGTTTGGGTGGAGTAATTGTTAATGGGAGAGCCGAGTTCCAATTCCCGTTGGGTTCGTTATATTCACTTACGCGCAATTACCCTTGTGTTATACCGGAACGTACCTATTTCTATTGTAAATAGACACTCCCACAGATAAGTAGTAGTAGTAGCAGTCGCCAGTGAAGCACAGTGGAGTTGTGTGAGTCAGTCGATGTCGGACATTGAAGTATCAACCACCACAACTAGATTGCTGTGTCATTAACTATTATTTTCAAGTTCCTAACGTTTTGTACGTCGGACCCTTTTAGGACCGACTCAGTAAAATACAAGCCTCCACTGCGAAAACTACTTTACAACACCTTGGGAAAGGTACCAATTTATCTATTCTCCTTTCAATTGTGGGATAATTAGTAGAACAGATATCAGTAAAAATCATTATTATCTTCCCAAATTTCTTTCGATGCTTAACTTCGGTGATCTTCCGCGTGTGCTTTTTATAATATGTAAAATAGGTTAGTTAACAAAACAAGGACAACCGAAAGGGTACCAATTTAATCAGTACGATAAACATGTATTAAATATTAATTATTAACCATATGACAGAAATGAAGCATGGAAAAAAAAAGGTTTTAAGTCCGGAATTTTCGGAAACGCCTGTGTCCTTCATCAACGGAGCGAGAAATAAACAGAGAAATGGGAATTACTGATCGACAGATGTTTTTGTAGACGGTTTATTTTCTGGTGGAAATCATATTATTAGCAAAAATCTGATCTCTCGCTGTGCGAATTTTTTAATGAAAATAAAGTTAAATTTAAAGTTTTGATCGGTGTAGAAGCGTTAGGTTGATCTATTATTCATAGGGGTGTGAGGGTAATATATATATATATATATATATATATATATATATATATAAGGCTCAAACACTAATATTCCATGGTTATAATTTATTACATTGGAATCGTAATCACAATCAATTAATCAGACCTACAAATTGGAATGGGGGATCTGATGAATTGGAACGTGATTACGATTCCAATGTAATAAATTATAACCATGGAATATTACTGTTTGAGCCCTTTATATTATATTCTTACTCTGTCCTGGACATTGAGTTCTACCTGGATTCTATCCTCTTGAGAATGTATATATATATATATATATATATATATATATATATATATATATATACTGTATGAAAATGAGTAAAAAAGGTTAAAAATATTAGATCATTAATCATAAAAACTGACAACCTTACATGAATTATACATATATACGTTATATTATAATTATATATGATAAACGACACTAATTATATTTCATTACTGAAAAAACATGACGACACAAAATGACATGTGAAGATGCGATATAGAAAAATACTGTCATTTTGCGTGAGACTCGGTACTTGAAAAAATAAAACTGACATAAAAACAAAACAAAAAACAAAAAAACAAAAACAAAAAAAGAATGCATACATACACTCAACTAATACTGGGTTGGGCCCCTTTTTACTTTTTGAACAGCCTCAATTCTTTTTGGCATCGATTCGGTGTCGTTCTGGAAGGATTCTTTCGAAATTTAGAGCCATACTTTTATTATGGCATCCTACGATTATATTTGATTGATTGGCCAAACAACAACAATTCAAACTGGGGGGACAGGTCTAGTGATTGCAGAGGTCACTTTAACACAGAACTAGGAACCAATTTTTGATTTGTGACATGTAAGTGACCCCCCCCCTAGGATGGGTGCACCATAACCATAAATGGAAGAACGTGGTCAGATTCAATACCCAGGTAGTTCTCAGCATTTAAATGGTCATTTATCGCTACTCTGGGTTCCAATATATGTCAAGAAAATTTCCCTTACCATTACACTGCCACCATCATACTGAACAAAATGTTGATCTAATTTAATTTTAGTTACGCTAACTCCTGGCCTTACCAACAGAATGGTGACGGCGGAAATCGAGATTCATCAAACCAAGCAACATTTTTCCAATGTTTTGTTGTGGACTTTTTGTGATCTTTGGCGAATGGTATACTCCGTTTCCTGCTCTTTTCTGATACAAGCGTCACCCATCGTGGTATTTTGCTGCTGTAGCTCATCTGTTTCAAGATCTGACATGATTTGCATTCAGACATAATCTTCTTTATAGCACCATTGTAAGGAATGTTTATTTGAACTACTAGTGCCTTTTTTATCAACTTGAACCAGTCTTAGTCATTTCGCTTCGACCTCTTTCATCAAAAAGAGATTTCCGTCCACAGAATTTCCGCTCACTGAGTATTTATTTTACTTTTCCAACAATTCTCTGCAATCACTAAAGACGATTTTCTGTGAAGATCCTAGTTGATCAATAGTTTTTAAATACTCAGGGAAGCCCTTCTTGTACCAACGACCTTATCATATTTAAAGTCACTTAAATAACCTTTCTTTCCCATACAAAAATGAAATTCAGCAGGTTTTCCCCCGATTCTTTAAAATCCTATGTCCAATAAATTGCTTCTATATCATAGGCTCATTATAAATTTGTATAAAAAGTCTATGTGGTCAATTGGTATCTATTCACAGCTTTACCTACAAAAACTTTTTGCTAATGTCTTATGAATTCCGAAGGCACCCAGGTTATTTTATATTCAAATTTTCACTGGAAACCAGAAAAATGGAATGAAAAATCAAAATAAACAAAATCTTAACAAGGAATATTCGTTGATCAGTAACCAAACTTGTATAGACAATATATATATATATTTATTTTAGTGGAAAGAACTATGACAAACTGGAAAAAGTTTAGATGTGATGCATTTCATCCTTTGAGATGTTATCAGACTAAGTTTATATTTACAGTCAAGCGACTACAGATGTTCACGAAAGAAAGAGACGCTGAGAATTTTAAATTTAAAATCATTTTTAAAAGTGTTTTGGGTTAGTAGATTTCATTTGTATTCTTTTTCTCTTGTTTAGGTTTCCATCGATTTTCTTATTAAATATCGCTAAAGCATCCCCAGTATATTTACTTCCAGATTCTTAAAACATTTTACTTTTGTTGGTAGATCTTCTATTATCAAAATGTGAGATATTTAATAACAAAAGTGATGGAAAAGTGCGTATGTTTAGTCACATCAACTTAAACATCAACTTAGTGCGATGAAGTCCACAAGGGCGAAACCCTTTTCACATTTTTCATATTTCTTTCCCATAAAATTGTTCTTGAAATATCAAAAAAAAAAAAGAAAAAAAAAAGAAAACTTATATTGTTTTCCCAGAAATTTGGAAATGTCTTGCTGTACTGCTTGGCATTCACGTCGGAATCTTCAAATATGAACATTTTAGAATTTTGGGGTGTCAATCTGAGGACAGTGCAGAGGCTTCGGAAAGAGTTGGATGAGTCTCATGGTGATTACAAATGTACGGCAGCTCGGAAAACCCAATCTGATCGTTCTGATGAGAAAAGAACTGCCGAATTTGTGGATGAGAACCTCAGACTCAACATGGCGGCCTACATCAAGTGTCTTGAGGAGATAATACGGTCCTGGTTCAAGAGAGTGGTTCCTAGAAGATCCTATGATTTCTTCAATTTACAATGTTTTTCAGGTATTTTAAACAGAATTTAAAACAATTTCCTTTAAATTCACAAAGTTTTTGTGTTACTTTAACTCAATATAATTTAAAACTTTTAAAATCGCTAATTTGTTCAGTTATTTTAAAATTTGAATTTTTAACTGTCACCTCCTCATTCGGACACAAATCTAAATACTGGATGTTCGAGCAAATAAAAGACAGATTTTCAAACCCAGGATCATTCCAAAATCAAATCTGTGTAGAGCAAGTGTGTGGCCCGAGTTAGAGGCGTTTCAGACATACGGACGGACAGACAGAACTTGCTGTTTATTTATTTAGATATAAGTCCTTTCAATGTTCCATTCACATTGCTGAGTAAAGCACAATAATCTTAATATTCACAAATAAAACAGTATAAAACTTTTAGTGGGAAACATTTATATTCAATTTATATTTAATTTTCATTCGATGTATTTTTTTCTTTTCTTAGTCGAGAATTGTACGGCACGGAAAATACACATTCGAGCTTCGATTGATTTGATAAATATCTTGACTATTTTTAAATCAATATATGTTTACTGATTGTTTTTTTTTTTTGCAAGGAAATTGGTTTTATTGATTGCTTTTTCAGAAAACTAGTTTTATCGAATTTTTTTTTGTCAGAAAACTGGTTAATGCGATGCGGTTTCAACCATAAAGCATCTATATATAAAATTCTATTACTTCCGTTAGTCCGTCCGTCCAGCACACCCTCTAAAATAACCATGCATTGATCGAAACCAACTTTTAGGAAGAAGTTCAAACAGGTAAAGGGTTACAAAATACGTTTGGTTTCACTAATTTGATTAATTCTTTTGGAAAAATTAAAAGTGTTATTATTTAACCTACAACATATTCCCACTATTTAAAAAAACAATTTAATGATTAAAATAACACATACTTATTTAATAAAATTTTAATATTTTAATATTTGCATACCTTTTCTTTAAATTTTTATATAAAAGAATCCAGTTTTCAGTTAGCCCTGCGAGAATTAAAAAGAAATCACAAGGCCAAACGCTTCAAAAGTTGGAATTTGGCTCCAGAAAGAAATATTTATGCATGTATGTTGCATGCTCAAGAGTAAGAAATCCTAAGAATTTATTCTTCACTGTTAAAATGGGAAACGCAAAAAAGGAATTTTCTTAAAAAATATTGTTTACCATGAAGTCCTATGAAATTAAATTAAATTAAAGAAATTATTAAAATAGGGTTTTTATCAAAGTATTTTCCAAACAACAAAAAATATTCAAAATTCATCGATTGGTTTTCGAAATTGAATGAAACGTAGAGTTTGTAAATCTTGACAAAAATGTTAGCGATAACTTCAACAATATTAAATAATGTGAGTTTGTTTTTTTAAAAAAAAATCTAGTCTTTTATATTTTGGACTTTGTACACGG